TTAAAAATTATTTAGTATAAGTATATTCCATGCAATATTTAGGATAAAATACTGGGTATCCTGTATTTTATCTGTCAATCCTACTTTCAAGGAACATTAAGCATCTGAAGACATTCTCGTCTAAACTGGGGTTGGGGTATTAATGACATCTGCTACAGAGCCTACAATGCCAAAGATAGTACCTCTCTCACACACACAACAAAGTAATGATTCTAAGGTTAGAATCCTATGTTATACACTTATAATAATCGACCAAAAATATAATAAAAATCAAGAACCACACCCAGCAACTATGAATGATCTGGGCATTCACTTAATTCATAAAATCTTTATAAACTTTTAAACCTTAACAAAAGGCAGAAAAGATTTTATAAATACAATAAGAGACTTTTAATGCTTTGTGAATATGCTAAAGATTAATTTTAACTCCATGATCAATAAATACAAAATTCCAAAATTTAGGCAGATTATTTTCAGAGATTACTTATTCTAAAATTTACATGAAATAATAAAGGGCCAAGACTAGCATAGTCAGCTTTGAAAAAGAAAAGGGAATACTAACCCTGCTAGATACTAGGCACACTACCAAACCCTGGTAATAGAAACAGAATGTTACTGTCCCAAGAACAAACAAAAGAGATTAATTAGAGAGATGGAACACTCAGAAATAGAACCTTGCAAGCCTAATATATTTTAGAAAAGTTGTCCCAAGCCAGTAAGAAAAGATATAAATCACTGGTAACATGGGAAAAGAAAAACTAGATCCCTATTTAATATTATATAGAAAAACAAACTTCTTAGGCAATTCATTTATCCTTTAAGGCAAAAATTACCAATAAATAAAATTAACAGAAGACCATTTTAGTGATTTAAGGGTGAGAAAATTCAGAAGAACCAACTGTACAAACCGTAAGCAGATTACACCTGTAATCCCAGCAACTGGGGAGGCCAAGCTAGGAGTGTCAAAAGTTCAAGACAAGCCTCAGCAACTTAGCAAGGTCCTAAACAACTTAGTGAGACCCTGTCTCAAACTAAAAAAATGAAAAGAGCTGGGAACGTGGATCAGTGGTTAAGAGGCCTTGGGTTCAATTGCGAGTACCAAAAGAAACCCCCCAAAACTGTAAACTGTAAACAAAAATGATAGGTGGATTTGATTACTCTAAATGAAAGGCTTTCTAGTCCACAAAGCACACCATAGACAAAATGAACAGGTTAGAAGATACCTGCAATACCTAAAGCCCCCAAAGGATTGATACCTGCATTAAATAAGGAGTTCTAGTGTATCAGAAAGGAAAAAAACACTGGTTGAATATGAATATTAAAAGGGAGTCAACTAAGGGAAATCCAAAAGCAAACACATATAAATAAATGCTGAAACCCACAGTAACCAGAGAAAATATAGATTCAAGCAATATAGATTCAGCTTTACACTCATAAGATTAATAATGAATAGATGTCTAGACAATGCCAGATGTTAGTGGAGATTTGTGCAGGTGACTGACGGCAGGGACAGCCTTTCAGGAGGGTAAGCTGGTAGTGTGGGGGTCAAATGTGGCAAATGCACATCCTATGATCCAGCTGTCCTGCTCTTGGGTAGATGATCACAGAGACATGTGCAAAGAAACTCATTGCAGTGACACTCATTGCCATGTTTGTGTAGCCAGAATTGAGTCAATGCACATGACCACTTCTAAGAAGATGGATGGGAACACGGGGTGAGTACATGCACACAATGGGATATTTGTGGCAATGGGAAATAATGCATTAGCTGAGCACACGACACCCATGGGCCTTTGAAAACATGGTGCTTTGTGAGGTAGGGGACAGAAAGAGACTTTTAGCCAATAGAATTAGTAATTTTTTAAAAAATGCACACAGAGGCTGGGGATGTAGTTCGGTGATAGAGCATTTGCATAGCATTTGCAAAGCCCTGGGTGTCATCCCCAGTATCATAAACAAACACACACAAAATTAAAAAGCATCAAAGTAATATATGCTTCATCAAAATAAGTTTCACATGGAGCACAATTGTTGGCATTTGGAAGTGGAGAATATGAATGAAAAAAGAGAGTGAGGACAAAAGGAAATAAGAAAATAAAAAAGCAAGAAAAGTTTGTGCAATGATGAGAAATTACCCTGAAAGGATAAAGCAGTGGCCTTCTGCTCTTGGGGCCCAAGCTATAAAGAAAACAAAGCAACCAAGAAAGAAAAAGTTGGATGGTCTTGGCTGAACCTAGAAAAGATATTTCTAAGCTGTGAGTAGGTGGTGTATGGACCTTCTACTTGTTTGAAAGCAACAATTTCCCCATGGTGAGGGATGGAGCATGAGCATGGAGGATCCAGCGCTCTGAGACCCTCCCATGCAGGAATTCATCTTAAGAAACTTAGAAAATTATATACTGAACATCTTGTCTAGTATTAGGGCCTGGGGAGAATTAAGGGTCTATGCCACCCCAAACCCCCACCCCACAAGGGAGATGACAGAGAAACTCTTCTGAGTCTTCAAGGGAACCCACAGAGACCCAAGGACAGGTACCAACACTACACCTGCTGTCATATAGCATTTTTTTTTTTAACAACAATAGGATCATAATACAGTCATATCCCTCGGTATCTTGGAGGATTGATTTCAGGACTCACCAAGGATACTAAAATTCATGAATGCTTAAATCCGTTATATAAAATGGTATAGTATTTGCATATAACCTCCACATATCTTCCCATACAGGAGAACATAGATGTCTAGACGAGTTGTAATACCTAATATAATGTAAATAGTTGTTATCCTGTATTGTTCCAGGAATGGTAAGAGCTTACATGTGCAAACATCAAGGCCTAACTACATTTTCAATTCTCAATCCGTTGGATCCCAGGATGCAGGTCCCTCAGAGGGCATCTGTTCAGGTTCTAACACACTTGGGGCATGAAGCAGCATCCTTTGAACATTGTCCTTGTTATTATTCTTCTATAATGCCTATAATATTCTTTGATAACCCCATATAATGGTCTTATCAAAGACCATAATGTAGGGCACATGCCAGTTACTTTGCTAATTGCTGAGGCCCAAGTCATCCCCCCTCCCTGATCTTTATCCCATTTCCCAACTAGGTTCAGCCATCAGGAAACACTGCAGAACACTAAAAGGTGGGAGGGAGAGAAACTCTGGTACCTCTACATCCCCCACCCAGTTTTCTGGTTCCAGTTACTGCCTCTTCACTGCCCCCAGCTTTTGCACTCTGATCTAGGCAGCAGGATAGAAGCACCTTTCCCTTTTTTTTTTTTTTTTGTTGGTATCAGGGATTACATCCAGGGGTGCTTAACCACTGAACCACATCTGCAGTCCTTTTTGTATTTTATTTAGAGACAGGGTCTCACTGAGTTATTCAGGGACTTGCTATATTGTTGAGGCTGGCTTTGAACTTTTGTCAATGGACCTTTATTTTTTATTTATTTTTTTGCAGTGCTGAGAATCAAACCCAGTGCCTCACACATGCTAGCTAGGCAAGCTCTTTACCACTGAGCTACAACTCCAGCCCCAGAAGCTGCTTTTCTTGATGTCATAATTTCTGGGTTGCTTCTCTGTACTATTTGGCTTCTCCACTTTCCATCCACCTGTATAATCACATCACTAAATTAGAATGTTTGGAAACACTGGAGACAATTGTTTTTACTATCTGGACCCTGAAACAGGGTAAGCCAAACAGTTTCTTTTTAGCTATTATAAACCATATAGTCAAAAACTTAGTTCCCAATGTGTATTTCCTTAGCACAAATTTCTGGAAAATTATGCAAAACCTAGTTTATATATATATCCTATTTCCCCTACTGAACAGGTTTTACCAATTTATACTTTGACCAATTTACCAACTTATACTCCCATGATCTCACCACTTTGTTAAAAACAATAGGAACTAATTTTAATTTTTCCTTCATCATTGGCTCTATATTATGCTCTTAGCCTTGATCATTTTCCTTTCTCAGTTATTGTCAAGCAATGTTGTCAGTGTCAATGGGCATCACTAGGGAATCTGTTCCCCAGATTTGTGTTTCACTTCTTGGGAGCCTGGTAGGGAAAGACAGGCAAGTGCTTATTGGTTCACATCAGCACTATCATGCTCAAAGTAAACCATATCTGCCTATTGAGGACAGCTAGGACCCTGGGAGTGAGGCTACATCCCAGCCCAATTGTCTGAGCAGGAGAAGCTGGACTAGCCATGGTTCTTTGTGAAGTTTGACATCCAGGGGTCAGGAGTAACCCAGGAAAAGTTGCCTTTCAGTTCCATTAGGACTGGGTTTTGGAGAAGGGAAATCTATGGGATAACTCTTGACTCCATGCCTGTCAAGTTCAGTCACTCTCCAATTCTCTTCAGTCACTCTCAGTCACACTCTTCAACTGAGTCCACATCCAAGGATTCAACCAACCAACCTTGGATCAAAAATATTCAGGAAAGCTGGGCATGGTAGCATACACCTGTAATCCTAATGATTTGGAGGCTGAGGTAGGAGATTGCAAGTTTGAGGTCAGCCTCAGCAACTTAGCAGGTCCTTGTCTCAAAATAAAAAATAAAAAAGGACCAGAAATGTAGCTCAGTCCAATTCCCATCTTTAAAAAAAAGAAGGATGGGGGAGCATTTGCATCTATATTAAACATGTACATTATTCCCTAAACAATACAGCTTAACAACTATTTACATAGCATTTACATCATATTAGGTATAAGTAATCTAGAGATGATTTAAAGTATGTGGAGGATATATCATAAAATCTATGCAAATACTACACTATTTTATTTTTTTCTATGAGGGACTTGGGCCTCCAGATTTTGGTATCTTGAGGGTATCCTGGAACCTGTCCCCCATGGGTACTGAAAAATGAGCACACTCTCAAAATCAAGATACCATCAATGATTCATAGACTGGCCAAAAGGTAGTACAGTGTCCCAGAGATGACTGCCTTCTTTAAAATGCATTTGGAAGATTTTGCTCAGATCACACTTTGAATATTTTGAAAAATGTTAAAATTTATTAATATAATAGTTAACATCACATAGTTAATTCAACTACTTCTCTATTGTACATAGTGACAACAATCAACATCTTCACAAGACTGCATGCTCAAGGATTTGAGATGATCCATATTCAGTGCATCCCAGTTGAAGATTGAGATCCACTGTATCTACGCCAAGCAAAGTAGTATCATTGAGGGGGCTACCAGCCCAATGCCAGGAACACAGACAGTCCATGTGTATGGTCCATTGCTCTCGTTTGGAAACCAATAACACATCTTTAATAGGCATACACACATCTCTACCTTAGGGGGAAAAAAAGTATAATTTCATAGACAGTGCCTAAGTTTTAAAATTTACAAAGTCACAATTCAAAAATAAAATTCATTTGTATTTCACAGGCATCCTTTAGGGACCCACAAATCTAAAGCTGGCCTTCAGTTTTCATTGCATTTGGAGGCACCCATATTTTGGATCAATAACTGCAGATGGAGGCAGCAGAGGAGTAACATCAGACAGGCACAGTAAGAATGGAACAATCAAGGACCTGTGCCCTTTCCTCTGTGCTTCCCAGAAGGAGCTGGGCAGTTTTTACTAATTTCTACTCCATCTTATTAAAAAATGATAACCGGGCACTGTTCTCAGCACAAATTTGAAAAAATGGGCAAAAACTGGGTGTGATGGAGCCGTGGATTTCTTCTCCATCTTTCCGTTTTTGTCCTTGTGTCCTACTTAATAGTGGTACAAGGCCATTCCCTCTCTGTTATGTTGTATCCAGGTTTAACATCTGTGCTGATTCATATTTTAGGGCAGAGTGGGCTTTCAGGTTCAGAATTAACTGCACTCTTGGAAAGAGTATGGCAGCTATGATACCACGGTCCATCCCTGCCAACAGTATGAAATAAATACTGTGTATAAAAAATAAACACGGGTCAGCAGACCAAATGCCAGCGCAGCCCAAGGAAGCACATAGACAACATTTCTTATAAAACATTTACAAAACAAACCCAAGGTGAAATTTGCCAAGAAGGCACAAAATACACCAAAAAATGTTGTCCCTGAGGTTTTGTTTGTTTGGTTGTTTAATTGCTTGGTTTTGGTTTGATGTTGACGATTAGATACAATTAAAAAAAAAATTTTTGGTGGCTTCCTTTATCTTGCCACACAGCTTCAAAATAGTACTGACTTTCCTAAGAATAAAAATTTCTATAAACAGTGAGTCTATTTGAAATGCTTCCTTTGGTTTCCTTTGGTTAGCATCCCATGGAATATTGCCCCAGGAAAGTCTCTTGACAGATTAGCCAGTTGCTGTGGTTTCTCCAATCCATGGGCTCAGCCTTGGTCTCCATCCCTGCCTTCCAGGCATTTCCAAATCTGTAGGGTCAGGAGGAGCGAGAAAGCGGATGCTTTTCCATTCACTCACCCCGGAGAGGCTTTCCTTCTCTTCCCACAGGCGAATGAGGTATTTCTAAGTAGCTAGTCAATGTCTTCACTTTCTGTCCTTAACTGTACTGATCTACCAATGAGTCTAAGGAGACCCTGCATATCTATATACAGAACAAATTAACATATAAATACATTACATACAATCCGCCGTTACATGATGAAGGAGCAGACCTACTTCATGAACTAAATAAATTTCAAACATAAATTAAAATGAAAATACAGTGTCTCCACTTTTGCGGGTAAATCTTTAAAAACAAACCAAAAGGCTCCCCCCCTCCCCCAAAGGTCCACTGCTCATGAGTGATCCAAGCACCCACAAGGAGAGGCAGCGACAAATCCATATTGCAGGATGCATCTGGCTTTGGTGTCATCGCCCAGATGCGGGATTCCTCAATTCCAGTTTCAGTAAATGCTGGAATCCACGGGGCAATGGCAGGTTGAGAAAGCGCTGCCACACGGATTTCCATGGGATCTCCCTCCACTGCCGTGCTTCCTCCTTCCCCACATCTGCCTGCATGAGGATCAGGCTGAGTGACTAGCAGAGACCTCCTGGATCTCTGATGGGAGAAACAGTATTGACATCCTTGCAGGGGGATGCTCTCCAACTAGAAGTACCCCGTCAGCCCCAAGGGGAGGCTAGCCCCAATCCTTTAGGATTGTACAGAGACGTGGAATTCCAGGAGAGGGGGCGAGGCGCTAAGGATTATTGTCATTATTTTTTTTCTTAAGTTGTATGAGAACCAATGGGAATGGTTGTGACCAGTATGAACAGTCCTGGCTTCTGTATCTCAGGAAGGCCAAGACTTGGGCACAAAACTCTACAGTGAATGTAAAAAAAAAAAAAAAATCTCAATCCGACGGGGTCCTCTCTGCCAAGGAAAAGCTGAGGGGACTGTGTCTCTGACACAAGAAGATGACTCCTTATAATTTAAAACAGGGAAGAGGGGGAAGCAGAGAAGTCCCTTCCAAATTCCAGGGTTCTATCGCTGTCCGGCCTCCCGGATGCGACAGGCCACGGCAGTGATGAGCGCGGCCCCCTTCCCACTGCCGTCCTCTGACTCCAGGAAGGACACCTCACATTTGGGGGCCAGGTCCTTCACCGTCTCATGCATGACTTTGGCAAAACTGGAAAAAAGGGGGAGAAAGACAAAAGAACAAAGCACCTTAGTCATGACAGATTTGTGTGCTCAGAGGTGAGGTGCTAAGAAGTAATGCTGGCGATCCACGGGTAATTAAGAGGAGGAGCAGGACAGCTACACGGTGGGTCTATGTATTTGTACCAGAAAATTAAGCCTGGGAGATGCTAATAATCTGTCCAAGTGCAACATCACAGTGTACCCACTTAGCTCTTAGCTCAAGAGAGCTAAGATTTCACTCTAGGACAAATGCCTTGGGATTCTGTTGAATTGTGCTCTTAAAACTAATCAGTAAAAGAAGTTCAACAGTCCTGTGAGCCACCTATGAATCTTGCAGAAGTGTGTAACCTCCTCTGCAGGGGAGGACCAAATCCTGTGCATGTGGTTTTTATATTTTCCAAGGGTTATCACTTCACATCAGACCTACACCGACTCCAAAATGCCATTGAAGGCAAGAGGGGCAGATGTATAGGGTTTCTGTTAGGACATTACAGAGATCACAGATCATCTTCATATGGGACTGAAAAAAAGAGACAGTCACCATGCAACCCAACCCAACCCAAGAGGGTCAGGATGCCCTCCCATCTGTGAAGCTGAGGATGCCCCGTCCCAGGGTTGGGGGCTAGGTTTCCATACCTGCTATAGTTGGGATCTAAAGTCCCCTGAAGTCCCTCATGTAAGAGGTGGGAGGTTTTTAGGTCACTGGGGTTATGCCCTTGGAGGGAATTGTGGGACTCTGGTCTCCCTTTTTCTTTCTTTTCCACTTTCCAGTCACAAGGTGAGCAGTTTGGCTCCACACACACTCCTGCCATCGTGTGCTACCTCACCACGGGCCCCAAAGCAGCAGGGCCAACCAGTCTTGGACTGAAACTTCCAAAACTGTGAGCCAAAATAACCCTTTCCTCTTTATAAGTTGATTATCTCATGTATTTTCCGACAGGAAGAGAAAGCTGAATAAAAGTCCCTTTCCCAACCCTCATCTGGAGCCAAGAACCCTATTTTTACAATGAGACTTATCACTGAGGAAAGGGACTTGGATTTTTGGAGGTTCCCCTCTTTTCACTAATAGTGCAGACTCAAAGAGCCTCTTAGGTCATTAAAATAAATGTGGTGACAGCTCAACTCCTAATAGCTAAACTATGGAACCAACCTAGGTGCCCTTCAATTGATGAATGAATAAAAAATGTGATTGATATAAAATTATATATATGACTATTACTCAGTCTTAAAGATGAATGATGGTATTTGCTGGTAAATGGATGGTGCTGGAGAATTATGCTAAGCAAAATAAATCAATCCCAAAAAACCAAAGGCTGATGTTTTCTCTGATATGTGGATGCTAATTTAAAATAAGGGGGTGGGTTATGGGGGTAGGAAGGATAGTAGAATGAATCAGACATTACTACCCTATGTACATATATAACTATAAAACCAATGGGATTCTACATCATGTACATCCAGAAGGATAAGAAATTATACTCCAACTATGTGCGATGTATCAAATTGCATTCTACTGTCGTGTAGAAATTAAAACAAATAAACATTAAAAAATTATCAAGTAGCTGCTATGTAGCTAGTGTATAATACTGTCCAAATATATTGAAACTATGTTTATAAATAAAAATATCGATATAAACATTTTGATTTAGGAAAAAAAAATACACAAATGTGGGGAGAGGTGGTCACAATTCAATCCAGGATTCTCCACCCTCCCTCCACCCCGCGGGTGCTGTGCAGGCCGGGCACTGCTCTACTCCTTTAGCTTTTAGCTGAAAGGCTTCCAGAAGAGAGTATGTGGGCTACTTCTGACTTCAAAATAAATTATACAAATAACAAGTGAGAGAAGACAGAAGCAAAATGGTAATAAGAAGAGACAAAGGAGAAGAAGAGGGAAACAAGGAACACAGTCGAAAGAAAGGGGAACTTGGTATTTCCATATTGAGGGCACAGCAAAGGGCCAGGCAGCAAACCCTTTCAGTGTCACAGGCCATACTTCTCCTGGGCAGCACAAAAGCGGCCATCGACAGCCCATAAACACATGAGTGCCATTCTCTTCCAATAAAACTTGATTTACAGGAGCAATCATGGCTATTAATTACTAATCCCCTGCCCTGGACCATAGGGGGAGAATCTTGCTTGAGTTCCAGCATGTTTGCTAGAACATTCAGAGCAGCACTGTTTGTAAGAGTCAAAATCTAGAAATAATCCACATAAAACATACTTGGGAGGCTGAGGCAGGAGGATTGCTCAAGACCCAGCAGTTTGAGACCCTGGACAACATAGCAAGACCTCATCTCCAAAATAAATAAACAAACCATAAGTGCTGTGTGAGAAAAGCCAGTCACAGAAGAAGCCATGTGATTCTATTCACGGCAAGTTCAAAAATCATGCTCAATTTCTAGCGTATGTTTACTAAACAATATAGATGTGTAACATAGAGACCCGGGGAAAAGAAAAGCAAGAGACTGAGTTGGGGCAGCCCTTATTCCTGGCAGGGGAGGGAGAGGGTGCAATTGCAGGTGTGTGTGTGGGGGTGCACACTTTCCATACTGAAACACAGGCCTGATTCTGGTTCTGATTATTGATCTTCAAACTATAAACATTAAAAACACTATTTAGAATGACCAATAGTTTTCTATAAAGTTAAAAGGGGGATGGGGACAAAGACAAATCGATAAAGGTCTGGGATCAGGCACTCACTGAGGATGTAGCTTGTAGAGGGTCCCATCCACACCCACTGTCACTTTGAGGGTGTCCAGCCCACGGTTTTCCCGTATCTTGTCCACAACAGCAGCCATGCCTGCGCCACAGAGCTGGGCTGCCCGCCGTGCCACCACGGTGCACACCTCCTTGACGATGATGCTGTCGTCACAGGTGCTCTCGAGGCCCAAGTGGTGCAGGATGGCACGGACCTGCAGCAGGGCCAGGCAGTCGCTGGGGTGGAAGGGAGACAATGAGTGGTCAGTCAAGAGCAGAGAGGGCTGGAGACCCCCCTCTCCCAGGATGGCTCTTTTATCCTAGGAGGCTCTCCAGGGGTCCGGGCCTTGGGGACCAGGCCCTACAAGGTGGGCTCTGATCACGAACTCAGAGCAGTGCTCATCCTGCTGGACCATGCTCACTCTTCCTGAGAGTGACAGGAAATTTTAAAAGAAGGTCCTCATTCTACTTTGTGCAGGGAAGGTAGAACACTGTCACTACAAAGCATATCGAAACACAAAGGAACTTCACTGTCTACTCATTTGGAAATAATAAAGACAGTGGCCATGCCAGCATGCGGCATTTCCAGCTGCAGAGCACGTTCATGTCTCTTCTCTCATTGCTGTCCCTGGGTCTTCAGGACAAGCATTAACTTACTAGCATTACACTCCTGCTTGATTTCCATTCCCCACACTGGGCAGTCTGCATTCTGCTTGTGCCCTTTTTATGAAATAGATGCACATAAAATTGTAGTGAGAAAATAAACCCTATTTTATAAAGAAAAAGAGACCCGGAATTTTCTTATCCATCAGCTGAGCAGACTCTGTTCACTGATGCAGGTGCCCTTGGGGCCCACTCAGGTCAGTAACCCAGTTCCTGGTCTATGCCTTGAGAGTAACATAGCATTAATTTTTTAAGGGCTCTGAAATTCACCATTCTAATTTGGAGCAGAATTTTCTGCCCTTAGACCAGAGGACAGAGGCTTCACTCTAACAAGCCACAACATAGCATGCCTCTGTCCTGCCTGAGGATTACTTAGTCCTTGATAGAGTGAAGCCTGTCCTTTTTAATCAGTCCTCATTGCCTGATTATTGCAGCCAGCAGTGAAGAAGGATCCCCAAGCCAAGCATGGATGCTTCATCACATTATTTTCCTCTGCACATTTTAATTTATATCCTATGATCAGGTTATCTTTCTTGTTCTGCTATTTGATCTAAAATACAACAATATCCCTGTTCATGGTCCCATGCTATGCTCTGCACCATCTTTCATGTGTGAGCCACTAGATTGACTTGTGTGAGCCCTGCTCTGATCTCACTTGAGCTGTGAAATCCTTCAGCTTGTCTGTCTGTGAGGAATACACAGGACATGGCCCCATCCTCCCCCAATCCCTAAATAAACTCTCACCTCTCAATCTGAGACAAGAACTTTGTTTCAAAGATTCCCCTTGTCTTGAGCCGCTCTGAGATGCGGCCGCGGAAGAGCAGCCCACGCTTGGTGAAATCGATAAGGATGTTACGGACAATCTCGCCCAAGTACATGCCACTGATCATCTTCTCAAACCTGCAATTTACAGAGGTTAAATCGGAAGGTAGTAGGATGTGTTGAGACAGAACGAAAAGCGGAGGGCAGCATGGCGGGAAAGGAATGCCACTTCATTCATCCGGCGGGATTCCTATGTCCTCTCACTCTGATCCTCCTCTACCTTCAGCAAAACTGAGCATGGTGCTCTCGCTTCCTCCCCTCTCCACCCCCCCACCACCACCACCCATGGGGCTTTGTGATGCTGGCCAGTTCCAACAAGAGAGGGTGCTAGACACTGGATGGCTGGGGGAGGAAGAAAGGATTTGCTCCTGTGTGGGCTGCCCCAGCAATGCTGTTTCACCCCAGGAGCAGCAGTGGTCCACTCATCATTTGTCCCTCACAGACTCAGCCCTAGGTTTTGATCCCACCCCCACCCCCATTCTCCCAGGCCTCGCAGTGGAAGCAGCTTCCTCACGTTTACTGACTCAGAACTTTCCAAGAAACCATTGTCATCTCAAGCTAATAAGCATCCTTGTTATTATCTTTATTATTATTATTATATAGTCTGGTGGAGACTCCCATCACTCATTGCTATCCAGTTCTGGGATACAAGGCTCACACCTAGTTGGGTGCCTACCTCTGTTTGCCTGGGTTGAGCGAAAGATCATCCACAGCCTTGTCAAATTCCGTGCGGAAGTCGTCCAGGCACCCATTGTCCCCGAAGGCGCCCCATTCCATGTTGACGCACATCCGCCCTTCTTCTCCATCCACCAGTTCCACGTTGCGCATCTCCTCCATGTAGCAGGCGTTGCTACCGGTGCCTGCCAATCACAGGGGCACCAGGTCTCACTCAGCTCCAGCCTCCCACCCACCCAAGGCTGTGCCCCCGGCCCCTGTGGGGAGGATGGTTGATATCCTTACCAACAATGAGGCCAACCTCACAGTGAGGGTCTTCATAGCCACACGTCATCATGGTTCCAACTGTGTCATTAACCACAGCCACCACGTCCAGGTCAAACTCCTAAGAGGGCAGAAGCAGATGCCTAGTCCACAGGTGAACCTCCACATTCTCCCTTCAGACATCGGCAAGGACACTTACATGTATATAAAATACATCTCAAATGCTGTGACTCACTCCCTCATTTCATATGAGGCTCGCTCAAGGCTTGCATGAAGACTTCCCTAGTTGTGCTGCTATTAAGATTGCCACTTCCCTGCTCACTTGATCTGTTCTCCTTGTCCAACTTCATTTTTCTTAGCCCTTAATAACAGTTGCCATTGGGTTATGGGTTTATGTTTGAGAACAAGTGTTTTTTTGGTTGGTTTGTTTTTTTGCAGTCACTTCTGAATCCCCACACCCAGAACAGAGCTTTATGCACAGTAGACACTCAACCGTTGCTGAGCTGAGTGACTACATCAATACTTCTGCCAGCCAAAGCAACTGCACTCAATGTTGCCCCTCACAGATCACTTCAGGCATCAAGGAATCAATGCCTGGGGTCTCCTTTACCTCTCGCCGGTGGATGGCTTCCTTCAGCAGGGTGACCACGTCCTCACCCTCGCATCCAGATGCCTTGAAGCCTTTGGTCCACTTAAGGAGGATACTCTAAAAAGCACAGAGAAGACCTCAGAGAAGGGCTCCTGGGTCATTTCTGGGTTCTCAACCTCATAAACTAGACAGATTCCCTGGAGTAACCAGCCATCTCACCTACCAGTGATCCTCAACCTAAGGTTGTTGCTTGGATTTACTGAGTACTTCCTGTGCACCAATGCTGGTGCATGACATGTGCTACACCATTTAATCCCCACAGCCATCTATGGAGAACATTTATCATAATAACACCCACCTTTTACAGGTAACCCAGGCACCCAGGTGACTTGCCTAGGCCTAGTTTGAAGCTAGGAGCAGGACTCACCTCCAGACCTGCTGACTCCAATCAATGGCTCACAAGCACTGTGCAAATGTCCCAACACATGTTTCCTTCACTGGGCAAAGCAGTTTTGCCCTGTCCCTGTCCTTCACTTAAATCAGAAGGGCCAGCACGTCTCTTAATTTTTCATACTTCTGTATCCAGTGAACGAGTACCTGGCCACAGCTGGGGAAGTGTCTAGACCTCACACTCCTCCACATTTCTCAGTGAGGAAGTTCTCTAAGGCTTCTCAGAGTCCTCTGTGGGCCCATCTTTAATGTGGCCCATGTCACAGGGCCATCTGGAAGTAGATGCCCGGTGGCTTTGCACGTGGGAGAAATCTTTGTTCACTGGAGCCCTCTGTGCTGCCAACCACCAGGAACCAGTGTCAGCACTCCCAGATCCATTTCCCAAGAGGCTGGACCCACCAGTGGACTGTGTACTCACTACCGCCCACTTGCATGGTGTCCCCAGGCCTTGCTTGGTGGTTCATGCCCATCACCTTGGCATCTCATCCACCTGGATGTGTCACACCATGATCAGATCCCGAGAGACTCAGAAGAACAAAGCGCATCCCTGTGGAGCCTTGGTTTACACACCCACATTCAGACGAGGGTGTGCTCACCTCCACCCATCTCTCTCATCTACACATTAGCTTCATATCTCTGGCAAAAGTTCGGCGCTTTAAAATTTATAGAATGTTCAAGTAACATCACTTCAGGTAATCCTTATAAAAAGACAGGAACAGGCCCCAACAGCTGGGGAGACTTGCCCAAGGCCAGTGGCGAGTAAGCACAGCCAGAGGCCCTCGGGCCTCCTGAGCACCTGCTAATACCTCATCATCAGGATGACCTCATCGGCTAACAGATAGAATTGTCTTTCCCTTTGTTTGCTGTTCATTTTTATGATCCTAGACATAACATGTGCTCCTTACAGAAAATTGGAACATACAGATTAAGATCCAGCAGGATGACTGTTCTATTCAGATAGACTATTTCTATTCAGATAGAAACAGTTATCATACCCAATAAAGTATATAAAGATAAATACAAGTTAGTATGAAAAGACAGTGTCTGTTTAAAATAAAATAAAAATTTGTAGGAAAAGTCTGGAAGGACTCTGTTGGAATGTTTTAACTTTTCTATTAATCATTTTTTCTTCTTTTCTATATAATATAGATATTATAATTCTCAAAAAATTATAAATAAATAAATAAAACCTCTCCCCATCAAGTCATTCTTCTAATTTGCTCCAAGTACTCCTCACCTCCTCCAGGACTGCACTCAGATCATCACCCCACTGCATGTCTTCAGGGCTGTAGTATCCCATTGCCATGGTCCAAACAGTAGCTCTTACTTTTCTGAGCTTGCTTCAACAGCCCAGTTTGGAAGCATCTAAGGCAGGAACCATGCCTTTTGCACCTGGCAACTGCATCCACAGCACCATAACCCTGCAGCATGCATGCAGGTTTCTACATGACTGGCTAAGTCAGAGAGGAACCACCGTTCAAATAAAAATACTCTAATATCGAAGCCATCAGCCCAGATCCCAGCACTGCCTACTCAGCTGTCCTCCATCTCTTCATGTACTCCTGTCCAGTACATCTGGGAACACCAGATCTTCAACCCCTCTTTCATTCATCCAAGGCAAGTTGAACAGCAATGAGAGGCAAAGGTGAGACTAGAAAGACCAGAGCATCCACATTTATAGGAGAGACAAAATAAAAATGCCTGAGCCTGTAAGAGCGTCAGGAGCAAGAGAGAGAATTTGAGCTCACAGGCTCAAGACATCAGAAAAACAGAATACAAATAGTGGCTTGGCCTACTCCCAAGCTAGATGACCTGGAGCAAGGCACCAAGTACCTTTGTAGACCTTATCTTCTATACTGAAAAATGGGCATATGAACACTTAACTTGATGGTTTCTGTGAGGATTAAATGAGATAATGCACATAGGAAGCTAAATGTAATATGTGGCATACAATAAGTGCTTAAAATATGTGAGTTGATGTTTTGATTAGCATCACCATCATCATTCTTCCAAAGAAAGTTGGATCCTAACTAAACCAACTTATTCTTATCAATGGGCCCTTCCTCCCCAAGGGTCACTAGTGCCCTTCTTTCACTCATTAGGGTCAATAAAGCCCATGGGAGAACCCTGTGGGAAGGCACTGTTACCTCATCCAAGCTGTTCTGCTGGCAGGGGAAGGAGAAGGTGAAACCCAGAGGCAGAGACACACCCTTCATGCCCATGTACTCCAGGAAGTCAGCGATGCACTGGACGATGTGGTCAAAGAGCTGTGGGGAGAAGTTGGAGCCCTAAGAAAGAGGCCATGGCCGAGATGGGCTGCCCCCAACTAGGCCTCAGCAGGAGCTCAAGGTTTCCATCCAGAAGAAATGAAAGCTCAGGCACAAGCCCAGAGAGCAGCCTGGGCCTGGGGCCCACCAAACCTTCCCCAGGTCCACAAGGAAAGAGCCGTCATTGAAAGCAAGACGCTCCATGCTGCTCACCTCCTCGCCTGTGCCATGCATGACCTCCTGTGGGATGGAGTAGATCTTGTTGTGCATCTCTACTCCTCGCCGCTTCCCATTTCGCACACGCACCAGCAGGACCCGGAAATTGGTTCCTCCAAGGTCCAAGGCCAAGAAGTCCCCTTTCTCTGGAAAACAAATCCAAAGAGGTGATGAGCTGGGGTGACAAAGAGTGACAGTTTATGTACCTTCCCCTGACAGGGGCCACCCGATAGCTTCAGCAGCCTCAGGGGGTGATGGAATATGAGCTCTATTTAATGATGAAGAAAAAAGATGCCCCAGGACGAGATCTTTGCTGGCTCTTTAGTGACTCTCAAATGAGTCCACATGCTGGGGGCCCAGAAGTCAAAGTGAGCACTGCAGAGCTCTGGGGACGCTGATAATAGAGTACATTTAAAACTATCTAAATACGCTATTTGTGCCAAATCAAATACCACCTTAGGTTAGATTCCAGACTAGAGAAGGAAAAAGAGAATGAAATTCTTTAAAAGAATTAAAAGGGAAATCTTTTAAAATGAGAAAAACTTCCACCATTAGGCAATTTCAGCGTGCCACAAGCCTCACACACAGTCCCCATCCAACACTTAGGCCATCCTAAGGGATATAGTTCATTCTTTCTTGTGGATGATCAAAATCTGGCTGAGCTGGCAACATTACTTATGTAGAATTACATCAGTAGAAAAAGGGAGCAGGGATCAAACCCTAGTCTCTGGAACCTATACTAACTGCTACATTGGCCTGCTCAGCAATCATTTTCTCTGAATTGGGAAAAGACCTCCATTTATTAGGTTGCAAGACCTACAAGAGGGTTTATAGCGATCTTTTTCTGTAAAGTGACAGACAGGAAACATTTTAAGCTTCGTGGACCACATAGTCTTGCTGCAAACACTCAACTCTGCCAGGGTAGTGCAAATCAGTCATGAATGCTGTACAGACCAATGGGCATAGCTGTGTGCTGATAAAACTTTATTCACAAAAACAGGCATAGGCCAAACCTGGCCCAGGTAGTACAGTATGCTGACCCTTGACCCGGACCAAGTGATGGTTGTGAGCAGTGGCTCTGGTACCTGAATTCCTGGATTTGAATCCCAGCTCTGACACTTGCTAGTAGTGTGAACTTGGGCAAGTTTCTTAACTTCTCAGGCCTCAGTTTTTTGCCACACACAGCTGTTTGTCAATACACAAAAGTAACTACTAATCTTTAATAGCTAACAAATATTAAAGGAATTAATAGGCATTAAGTATGTTGATACATTGTAGGCACCAGTAAGTACTGTTTGATTTTAGCTGAGGTATGTCTGGTTGACTCTAGTATTACAGTAATATAGCTTCAAAAACAGGTGGCGGTTCAAATGTCCAAGGCTAATGCTAACGGAGCTCCCCAAGCACCGATGCTAAGACAAAGGCCTTCCAGGTGAGCATCTCTGCTGCATACCTGTGCCATCGGGGGTAGCACACACGTAGGTGGGCAGCATCTTCACAGGGGCGATGGAGTGCGTCTCCTTGCTCAGACCTCGCTCCATTTCAAGCTTCATCCTCCTCTTGACCTCCAGCAGCTGCTCATGGCTCAGTTTTAGAGGCTCTAGGGTATTCTGGCGGGCTCTGTGTTGATCAGCCAGTCGGTAAGCCACTGCGGTCACCATGGCTGCCCCTTTGCCGCTGCCATCCTCAGAGCGGAGGAAGCGAATGTCGCAGTCAGGCACCAGCCGACGTACAGCCTTGTGAAGACGCTTGGCAAAACTGTAGCCGCCCAGGTGAGATAAGAGACAGGTGTCCGCAGTTAAGGTCAGTGGTATAAATGGTTGCACAGTGGCTCACTGCCTCAGCCCAAATGCTGGGCCTGCAGGAGCAGAGGCTGCCCTCAGCCTTCTCCCTCCACTCTTTCCCATGATAGGAATCACTGTATAAAAAACTCAGATGACCACCCTGGCAGCCTGGCAGAGTTTATCCCCCACTGAAAGGAAAGGACACTTCTAGCACAACACTGTTCCCTACGTGCAGTCACAAGAAATCTCCTCTGCCCAGGAGATTGCAATCAGCCTATGCAGTCTAATAGAATCAGGTGGCTCTAACATTACCCATTTTTCATGTCCCAAAACTCATTTTATTTGAAGATGTCACTTCTTCTGCACTCTCGCCTCTCTTTTGCCAATTTCTGTCAACTATCTCAAGGTATCTGAACAGCTAAAGATAACATGTTATGTTCGGCAAGAAACTCTCCAGGTGATGACTGCTTTGAGGTATCGCTCTGCTACTCCAAGTGTGGTCCATGAGCCAACTGACTCACTGGAGGCTGTGACATGCAGGATCTCAGGCTCACCTCAGACCTTCTGAACCAGAATCTGCCTCTTAAGATCCCCATGTGATTCATGTGCACATTAACTAAAGTTTGGGAGGCACTGAGCTAGGAGATTAGGGAACCTCAGGGCTGAGACCTTCCACAGTGACCAGCTCAGTTAATGATGCCATATTGACCTGGCACTCATGTTAGGAGAAACTAAGTGAGTGCAACAAGAGGCATCTTCCAGGTCCCAACTGAAACTTGAATGTCTGGATATATATAACCCAAAGGATCAAAACATGCAGCGTGGCATCAATTCAATACCCAAATCAGAGGCTGGTAACCCCCAGTGCTGAGGTGGTCCCTGGCAGAATACATAGCACATATAAGAACCACCAAGAATCATAGAGTAAAGAATGAAACTCTGTCTTATAAAGAAGAGGGTGGCCAAGAAGAGCACATCAGCAGCCTTCAGAAATCACCTCCACCCACACCAGGAATGACATCCCCCAGTACCCACTTGCCCCGTTGGGAACTATAATTCTACAAAGACCCCCAACACCTTGGGATGCAAAACAGAGCTGCCCAATGGAGTCACCCGGTCCCAGGTACTCTGGGACCTCCTTCACTCCTGGGCCCAAGACGCTGACTCACTGAGGGTGTTTCTTGTAGACGGAGCCATCAACCCCAATGGTGGAGCGCAGCCGATCCTCGCCCTTGTTCTCCTTGATACGCCGCAGCACAGCAGCCAGGGTGGCTGCACACAGGTTGGCTGAGCGTGTGGACACAATCTGGCAGATCCGGTGAGTGGCCACACAGTCCTCCTGCAATGGATTCAGACCCAGCCGCACCAGCACCTGGTAGGCCTTCCGGATGCCATCCTTATCGCTGGGAAAGAGAAAGATAGTGTGTGGGCACCTGTCTGACCCACTGTGGCCAACAGGAAGAGGGTATGGGCTGGCAAGGAAGCCCATCAGCTCCAGCAAACCCCATCTATCAGTGAGGACAGAATCTCTTATGACCTTGCTACCTGTTTGTGAGCAGGGCTGGTGGGGGGGGAGGGGGGACAACAAGGAGGGAATACAATGCAACATCACCACCCTGAGGTATCTTTCCCAGACATCACACACACACACACACACACACACTCTCTCACACTCACTCACACATACTCACATACAGTGCTACCCTGGCTCATTTTTCCCCCAGTAAAAAACCCAGTATTTCTTTTCTGTGCACTAATATGAAGCTAAGACCTGGTTCATGGACCTTCTGCACTCTTTGCATTTGCCGTTTGCTTGTCTTAAGGTAGACAGACAGAATCTCTGCCTCTATAAACAGTCACCTCTAAACATGTGAATCCAGCTGTGGTGCCCATCTGTTCTCTCTAAAGGAGCCAGAGTTTGTCTGTGCCTGAAGATGGTGGGAAAGGGTAGGTGATTTGACACCATAAGTGCCCTTCTCAGGGGAACCAAATGCCTCACTGGATTGAGTACTACCCTCCCCTTGGGGTGTAGCAACTTTAGCCACTGTTTAAAGGTTCCACTTGGAACAAAGTCCTTGGAATGCTTTCACTGCTCCTTTTGGCACTAAAATCACCTCCTCTCTCTACCTGGTTCCTCAACTAATAGGACCCCCTCTATTCACGCGAGGAAATAGCAAGAATGGAAAACTAGCCCCGGCTATCAGGATACTAGGGGCCATCCTCACTCCCATCCCCCTGGCTGGTCTATGAGTGGGTGAATATATCTGTGGGCATCCAAGCACCTATTTTTCTGTTTTGAAGTAGGGCTCAGGGTAGTCCCTTTTGAGAACTGCTGATAAGAAAAGAGATGTCAGAAATTCAGGAGAAGAACAAGGAGATAGAAGCAAATAAGTGTTAAGGTGCACACTTTAATGCCTCCAGGATTTAACCCAGTGCAACAGCCCAAGTCCCTGCATGCACAGGCCAACTGTTCCCAGCACCCTGAGTCACTTTGGTAGCATCACCCTCAAAATCCACAGGAGCACAGACAAGTAAGTAGAGTGAATTCACAGGCCCACCATGGGCCACCTTCAAGACCCTCTTGTGGCCGGGTGACATGGCATATGCCTATAATCCCAGCAGCTTGAGAGTCTGAGGCAGGAGGATCATGAGTTCAAAGCCAGCCTGAGCAACTTAGTGAGGCTCTAAGCAACTCAGCGAGACTTTATCTCTAAACAAAATATTTTAAAAAGGGCTAGGGATGTGGCTCAGTGGTTAAGCACCCCTGAGTTCAATCCCCAGTCCCCCTCCCCCCCAAAAAAGACAATCATGTAGACCTCCTGCTCAAAGAGTCAAAAGCCAATGCCCCATCCATGTTTCCCAAATGCCTCTCCCCATAACCAGACACTCAGTGAGCAGAGTGCGGCATTGAGACCAGAAACTTACTCTTCAATATCTGAGACATCTTTGGTTTCGAAGCTGCCTGTGGTAAGCAGTTCTGGGCTGGTCTTCCCCTGGAACAGCAGCTCTTCCTTGGCCATCTTCACCAGGATGAGCCTTACCAGCTCCCCCATGTACATCCCACTGATCATCTTCTCAAACCTGCAGGGAAATACAGACCAAAACAATAATATCCCCCCACCGTCCATGAATGCACAACTTTCCTAGGGAGGCCAGACACAAATATATGAGATTCAGCATGCTTTAGAGGTCAGCATGAATAAGGGTTAACTTATTCAGGTGTGTGTCGAAGTGACAGGTGGGGGGCTGCAGGAACTGTGGGGTTGGGACTGACCCTCAGGCTGGTGGGTCTTGAACAATGGGAAAGAACAGGACTTTAAACAGCCAGATGAAACAACCAGGGAGTATAGAACATTCTGGAACAGACTGAATTTTAGGTCATTTAATTTTGTGTAGGAGAATGTTTTTTAAAATTTCTTCTCTCCAAAAAAAAAAAAAAAAATCTTCATTGAAGTATTTTTTTTCAACAGGAAAAAAAATTTCAACCTGATTAAATATAGGGCACAAGCCTCTTACAGGCCATTTGTGGATTCCTGAGAAAATGGTGGGGTGGGGGGACAAGTTGTGGCAGGAAGATAGTGAGGCAAGATTACAAGACCAGGTTGGAACAGATCTCAAAGAGTCTGGGGGTAAACACAATGGAAGTTTCTGAGCAGGCTGGTGATAGGAGAAGAAACACGTTTTAGAAAGGCAGAGATCAGCTCCCAACCTGAGGCAGTTTGGTAATTTAATTTTGCAGCACTAGGTGACACTGTTTTCTTTAGAAGTCTTTCCAGCGACGACTATGTGGCAGAGGAAATTCAATCTCTTTTGGGCAAAGAAGACCCATTAGTCTCTCAGAAAGCCTCTGGGTCTTAGAGAGAGGAGGCTCCCAGGGCTACTGGTACTGTCTAGGACTGGCTTCAGTGACAAGGAGGCCCAGAGCAGGGGTGTGGAGGGGATTTGGACATGACCTACAGAGAGACAACTCAGGCCAAGTCAGGAAGCATTAGAGCTAAGGGACAAGTGGCAGCATTTGTTCCGAGCACGAGGCACATTGAAAATGTCAAAGCACCCACATGGGCACCCGCCTTGGGAGTAACCTGGCTTCAACAGTGAGGATTCCACATCTTCACCCGTGAAGCTAGCTGTATGGGAGCTGAGGGAAACACCCCCAGGGCAAGCGGGTCTCTACAGTGTGATGTCATCGCTCATGATTTTGGGGCTACCTCAGCTGACAATTTGAAAGATGACTTCCTAATCTATTTTTTTCATGGATAAACCAGGAATATGCTGTCAAGACCTGGCTGGCCATTTTGTCTTTTGATACTTCAAAGGGTACAGGGCTCTTTGGAATGACATGGGTGTGTCTCATTAATGGAGGCAGGCATTGAGTGAGCGACTTCTCAGCTCATAAACCTCGGGTCACCCATGGCAGACACAACCGGTATGTTCCTAAGTTCGGGTAAATGGACTCACATTCCAACACGTAAAAAAAGCTTATGACTTAATGAAACCATGCTTTGAGGAAGAAAGGACTCCCCACCACTGACCTGGTTTATAGGGCTAGTTTTCCTTTCTAAGTAGAGATCTGTGCGAAAAGACTTCCCAAAACTGTCCCAGCACCAAGAAGACCAGAGAGATGCTGCATTGCTCAAACTGTTTTGTAACTGTGTTTAGTGCTTGCAGCAAGCCTGTCTCAACATCTTCAGAGACATTTGGCAAATGTGAGAATGAAATAAGGTTGTGTAAGAGTCGAAAGTAACCTAAAACCAAGTCTGGCCTGGCTGGAGTGCAGAGCATTCAGGTCACAAAATGCTGGGGCCTTTTATCAGATCTACTTCGAGATCATGGTTGGGCCACAGACCCAGGCTGGAGCCCAAAAAGGCTTCTGAGAAGCCAGCTTTTCTATAGGCTTTGGTCAGTCTACAGCTGAGGCAGGAGGCCCTGGGACTCTGTGGGTTGGCAGTAAGCAGCCATCTGACATAACTTGGTCCTTTAGGGGGGAGTAGTGGGTGGGAGCTACTAAGGGGCTTTCAAAAACTAGAATATGACCTTCCAAAGTGAATGTGCCGAAGGATGACCGGGTTTATCACCCGCGCTGGTTTTAGAGCCCTCTCAGCAATTTATATTCCTAAATGTTCCCATAATCAGTGGGTGCCTTGGCAAACTTTGGGGGACAAAGTAAGACTATAGAGATGACCTGAAAACAAATCCCCTGTCCCTGAGCAGCCCCAGCCTCAGTTCCCAACACACGCCCCAACCCCGTCACCCAAAGGCCCACTCACAGTTGCTTCCCAGGATTCAGCGAGCCCATGTCGATCTCTCGGTCAAACTCCGTGCGGATGTCATTGAGCGCGCCATCGTCCCCAAAGGCCCCCCACTCCATGTTGATACACATCCGCCCCTCGTCGCCCTCCACCATGTCGATGTGGCGCATTTCCTCCATGTAGCAGGCATTGCTGCCAGTGCCTGACCAAAGCAAGGGACTGCTCAAGCACCTCCCTACGCGTCCCTCCCCTGCCCCCATCTTCCTCTCACGCTACTGTCCAAGGCTGCTCCGTATTAAGATCCCTCCCTGCAGACTTCTGGGCTCACCCAATATATGGTCCAGAACTCTTACTACCCCAGCTCCACAAGCTTTGGCTTGGCCCTCCAAAGCAACTGCATTGTTCGTTATCTTCAAATATAACCCAGTCTACAGATCGCTCCCTTCTTTTCAGCCCACTCCCCCAACTGCACATCCGGCTCTCACACCCAGAGCTCACTCACCCACAATGAGACCAATCTCACAGTTCTGGTCATCATAACCACAAGTCATCATGGTCCCAACCGTGTCATTCACCACAGCCACAATGTCAATATCAAAGTCCTGTAGGGATGAAATGGAGGATTCTGACCTTCACCATCACAGAAGGGATGGATACAGGATGTGAAGATGGAAAAAGAGCAGCAAGATGCACAGCTCAAGTGCAACGGGCTTACTGACCCAACTCAGAGCCAAGGAAGGTTCGAGCTGGAGAGCTAGATCCATACCCAAGTGAACATCGGGCAACTCACTCCCACCCTGATTGTTCTCATTGTGGAGAACCATTTTCCTGACACCAGCCCTGTGGTCTACTTTGTAGCCATTACTGCACTAAGGAAAGTCAATCTTGTATGCTTCTTCTACTTCTCTTTCTTCTCCCTCTCACCTCTCCTCCCTCTTCTTCCTTCTCTCTCCCTCTCTCCCTCCCTCTTTCTTTCTCTCTCTCCCTCCCACTCCTATGACAGAACTATATCTTGTCCACTCTCTGCCCCATTCTACTGTCATGTCACCATCATGCCAACTTCCTTACTTAAAACGATATGAATGAAGTCTTCTTCAGGACTGAAGGGTTTTTCTTGCACCAAGGCTAAGATTACTTTCCACCATGCTAATCTCAAAACCCCAAAGGCATCTAATCATGTATCAAATTACTGGGTAATAGCAGAGAAGAAGAAAACCTCCCCTTAAGCTCTACAAAAGCTTCTCAGGCTGAGTTTGAGGACAGACTTCAGAGTGAATCCCAAAGAGCCTGCACACCCGAGGTCCCACCACTCCACACTCACCCCTCTCCGCTGGATGGCCTTCCGGATCAGAGCCACCACGTCTCTGCCTTCCACACCACTGGACTTGAAGCCCTTGGTCCATGAGACCAGGAAACTCTACAAAACAACCAAGGAATGAATATTGATTTTTCTACAATTAAAACACAGGCCACACTTTGCCAAGCATCATTAATAGAGCTCTCTGATGCCCAGCTACAGTCATGATTGAATTTGTAGACTGTCTCCTAACTAGCGGAGGAAAAAGAAACTCAGGCTCCTCCCACGTTCAGGAAAGGAGATCAAATGAGTGATTCCTTCATGATTCACCACTCCTAAGAAATAGAAGGAGCAGGCTATAGACTTGCCAAAATAAGATATGTATATCCTTGAATCATTAACTCCCCAGGTATCCTTCTTCCAAGACCCTTCATCAAAACACTCAGGATCAAAAGAGTTCCTAGCTTCTCATTCCTGTCACCCTGGGTGGGATTGGGACACTATGCAATATGTGTGAAAGGGAGAGTAACAAAGAGCACCCACCTCCCTGATACTTTTTCACGCCCCCCAACACCTCCACACACGCACAGTCACCCGGAGGCCAGAACTCTCAATACTGAATCCTTAGCTATAAAATCCAGCGGTGCTACTGCCGATACCACAGCAGCAGATGGCCACCAGGGAGTTCTTCCCAGTCCTCCCAGCCCCAGGAGCGAAGCAATGCAGCAAGTCTTCTGAAGAACCCATCTTACCTCATCTAGCTTAGTCTGGTGGCAGGGGAATGAGAAGGTAAAGCCCAATGGGAGTTTCTTGTCTTTGATTTGGAGTTTATCCATGAAGTTGGCCAGGCATTCAGCAATGTGGTCAAACAGCTAAGGACACATGATACAGGAAGATGAGCAGGCAGAATGGCACAGAAATTAAGACTTTGGGCTCACAAAGGAATTAGTTGAATTTGCACCAGATTCTCTTCCTACCCTGAGCCTTCATTTGCTTTTTATCGAAGAAATGGGAATGGTAACTGGACCTGCCCACAAACAGTTCCCCAAATGATTAAATGAGTCAGTTCATATAAGGGCTTAATACTAGTTAGTACTCATTAAAAGCTGTCCTCCACTTAGACCATCTGTCAAACATCTGTCAAAATAACCCTGAGAGGAAGGGGGAAATCATGGCCAAAGTTATCAGAAAGTCCACGCACACCCTACAAATAGGACATCCTTTGGTGGCCCTGTCAGAGACCCCCGGACACAGATGCCTAGCCAATTATCTTACCAGAAAGGAAAGTTCACCTCACCACCACGTAGTACTTCAGCATCCCTGTTTCTTGTGACTGGGGGAGTGGTGGAACATTCTGTGTTGGCATTCTATGAACCAACTTAGCAAAAATGAGTAACTTTTTTCTATTTTTTCCGCTATTCTAGAAAACTAATCGCCTGGGGGCAATCCAAAGAAGTTATCTTTGTTTTCTTCTTTCAAAAACGGAAGACTCAGTTCTCTCTGAAGAGCAACAAAGAATAGGGTTTTGTGGATGGGCACTCTCACAACTGTGATCATGCTGAGCAGAACCCACAGCTCCTCAGCCCTGGAGAAAGCTGCATTCACAATGAGCCAGGTTTTCAATCAGCCCCAAGGAAGCCCCCTGACTTCCTTCTTGGCCACTCAGCACCCTCAAAGAGAAGTTGGTGACCCTCCAGATGCTGAGAGGATGAGGCCAGAGGTTTGGGGAACAAAATATAAGGAGCCGCCAAAGAGGCTGAACACATTCCAAGTGCAAGGTTAACCCGGTGGCAAAAATGAAAAGCTAAGTGGGGGAGGGGGAAGTGGAAAAGAACAACTATCTTTTCCTTTCCAGAAACAAGTAAAGATTCTACTAAAGATTTTCAAAGAATAGTCCTGGGCCAGCACCACCACCACCACCATCACCTGGAAACCTGTTAAAAATGCAAAATCCAGTCGCCCTCCTCCTAAGACCTACCATAGAAGAAACTCTGAGAGGCCCAGCAATCTACTAATAAGCCCTCATCCTGATGCTGTGGTTTAAACCACAGAAAATTATTTGCATTTACTTAGAAACTGAAAGGTTGAGGGAAGATTCACAGTCCTGATTGGCTCCCCATGCTTGGGGTATGGTCAGCAGGAGGCAGCTGGAAGGCAGAGCCAGCCCAACCTGGGAGGGGCCAGTTCTAACTGGGCTCCCTAGGTGGATTCTGTCCCTCAGTCTGATCCCCAAGAAGTCAACCTCAGCTGATACTGAACCGTCTACCTCTAAACCAAAACATTCTCAAGGACAAGTGCTAAGCTAGGACTGGGGTCTCTCACCAAAGGAGAGCACCAGTGCACAAGTGCCAAGTTCCTCTAACAGAGGTCAAGTGTTTTAATATGCAAATAGGGTTTCTAGAGACATCTATCCCCAGGCAGTTCTGCTCTTCTATTGGGGAAGTTGATAAGAAAGAAAATATGGGATGTATTAAACAAATTCCCAGCACCTTCTTCCTGACACACTAGTCAATGATCTTTAGTACAAACAGTTTTATTCCCCCCAAAAGGAAGGTGCAGCAGCTGTTTAAAGAAACAAAGCAATCTTAAAGATGAAGAGTCTTTAAAAGGAGAAGTAGAAAGTCACCTTCCCCTCACCAGCCCTGACCACGGCTCCCTCCCTAGCTGGGAAGGCAGAGGAGAAAGGCAGTAAAGATGCTTTAAATACTGCCCTGCCCAGAAAGTAACCACTGGCCATCTGGGGCTATTTCAATTCATTAGAAAATAATAAAAAGAAAAATTCAGCTCTCCAATCACAGTAGCCCCACTTCCCAAGTGCTCAATGCCTCAAGAGGCTGACAGCTACAGAATCATGCAGGCCAGATAGTGAGCAGTTCTACCCCTGCAAAAAGTTCCCTTGGCCAGTGCTGGGTTCAAAGAAGTTTTTTGTTTGTTTTTGGTACTGGGGATTGAACTCAGGGGCACTGGACCACTGAGCCACATCCCCAGCTCATTTTTGTATTTTATTTAGAGACAGAGCCTACTGAGTTGCTGAGGCTGACTTTGAGCTCACAATCCTCCTATCTCAGCCTCCCACCATCTTTTAAAGTGGGGAAGAGGAGACCATCTGCTTCCTTGAACTGGAAGCCTAACCTTTTTTTCTGTCAGTTGAGGAACCTACAGATAAGATGCTGAGAGAAGGAGCTAACACCTTCCTGCTATAAAAAGGCTCAAAGGGCATCACTGTGTGGAGTTTGAAAGTTTTCCTTTTCTTTATTGATCTAAGGATCCACTCACTCCCCTTCCCACAAGATACACCTTAAATATTGTAAGTGGCTGCTATTCAGGTTTATGACCTACTGCTTTGAAATGGAAGTGATGTGGCAGAAGACACAACTTCCTTTTTGGGGAGATAAAACTGTTTGCACTAAAGATCATTTGGACTAGTGTATCAGGAAGAAGGTACTGGGAATTTGTTTAATACATCTCATATTTTCTCTCTTATCAACTTCCCCAATTGAAGAGCAGAATTGCCTCTAGAATCTTACACAGGGACCCACTCTGCCCAGGTTCAGAGTTCCTCAAGAAACCTCTGCAAGTTCGGAGTTTGGTAAATTGGCCTTGGTTTTAACTAAATTTGCATTTTAAAAATCCATTTATTTTCCTTTACTTAAAATACTCATACATAACGCCAAAAGGGGTAGGAGGTATAGGAAAAAAACAGCACCATTAATTTATAACACTAAAATAACCCCTTAGATTTCCTTTCTGTCTTTTTTTCCAAATACTTTCTATCATTTTAGATCTATAATATCAATTCTCTTGCTTAGGAAAAAAAAAAAAAATCAACACCCATATTTTCTCCTAGTTTTTTTTCTGTTAGTTGGTTTTTTTTTTTTTTTTCATTGATTTCACACCTTCCTAACAACCTAACAGCTCTTCATTTCCATGTAGGTCTCATACTCTTTGGTTTTTGTTTATTAATTTGGACTAAAACATTTTGCCTATGTATATACATGAAAAACAGAAACTAGATGGTTTAAGAGATTTCTAGGTAAGCTTGTCAAGGAAAATTTCACCCAGATCATAAATGTTTGAAATGAATTCTCTTTCTGGATTGGCAGAGATACTCCACTTTGTCTGCTGGAGTCCCACACCCTTGCCAGGCCCTGGGGGGGAACTCTACAAGGACTATGAGGTCCTTGTGCCCCTCATGGTGTTGAAGGGTTAGCAATAGGCTACCCAAGATGTGTCAGATGACATAAAAATCCGCCTAACACATCTTCAGCGAACTGCAAGCACAGCCAAACTTCAGGTGCTATTTTTGGTTTTGTCTTATTTACTTGATTCTCAAATATCTGTAACCTGAGGGATGAGGCTCAGAATGGGTGAGGGAGGCAATGGGCCCCATGATGGCCACAGCAGAGTACAAAGAAGCAACTGGAAGGACAGAAAAATAGTTAAGAGTGCCAGTTTATGGGCCAGTTTGTGTGAAATACTTAATATGCATCCTCCTCTCCTCTAATCCCCACCACAGTTTCCATACTCTCATCCCTCTCTTCAGATGAATAAACGGATGCTCTACCAAGTGCCATCATTACTTGCCCAGAATCCCTCAGCCAGATTGTCTGAACATGGAGGCCCAACCTCCTCAACACAACAGCATGGCACAGGCACAGGGGTAGCCAGCGGAAGAGACTCACCCCTCCGTGTCTCCCTGACTTTATGCTGGAGCCATGGGACACCCTCCACAGAGATAAAATGCCCACAATCCCAGTGACCCAGGCTCCTTCTCCAACCCCAGCCTTCAAGCAAGGAATAAGGTTTACCCTCAAGGCCACTTCCAAAGTCAAAAAAAGGACCTAAAAAATACCTTCCTCACTTGCTCTGCTCATAATCAGGAATTCCTTTCCCAGGAGTGGCCTGGTTTGGTAGAAGAACAGGGAATAAAATTCTGAGGGCTGTCACCTCTCCTAAGCCTTAGGCCAAAGATGTGACAATGCTGAAGAGCATTCTACTCCATTTCTCCTCCAGGCATTCCTTTTATTATTGAGCACCCACTGCATATAAAATGTGGCAGGAAGAGCCAGGCTCTGGCCACAGGGATCCCTACAGCTGTGCTAGTATCCATTCATGATGGTGTCTCCAACCTGAGAGCAGTGGGAGAAGGTGCAGAAAGGACATCTCAAGGAAGGCATTCGTAGACCCTGAGAGAGAGGCCATACCTGAGTGCCACTGCCCCGCATGATGTCCTCAGGGATGGCGTAGATCTGGTTCTCCATCTCAACCTTCTGGAGCCCATTGTCCGTTACTCTCACACGGAGCACACGGAAGTTGGTCCCTCCAAGATCCAGAGCCAGGAACTCTCCGTGTTCTATACTCAAAGAAGGGGACACTGTCAGTTTGGGGAAGACAAAGTGAAACTGCCTCACAGAGACCAATCAAGACTTCAAACCCCCGAGTCCCTTCTTGGACACTGGCCATCTATAGGTGCCTGCATGGCCAAGGGATTTTACTTCTTTTCTATACACAGTTAGACTTGATCTCCTTCATGTTAAGCACTTTTATAATTTCCTTTTACAATTCACATCAACAACGAGGCATTTTCACACCCAACAATAGGGTGCTCAACCCCTCAAGACTGACTCTCCTAAGGGATTTCTGCAAGTCCTCACGGAGTAGATGGACCCCAATAAACGCTGTGCCAGGCATCCAGGCCTCAGTTTTGTTTCTATCTCCTCAGAATATCCAGCAAGTCTGAACCCTGGACCTGTGCCAAATTGTGACCACTGTACAAAACTGCCTAAATGTTTGCATGCTATGTTGGCGATCTCTAACTATAGAATCAAAGAGTCACATGAGAGAGGAGAATGGAACAACTGTCTATGAACTCAGTGGCCTAGCAAGTAAGCCAACCAGGTGCCCCCAGAGGATCTTGGGCTTATTAGAGTGTGAGAGGATGCTGACCCCAGAGTGTGAAAGACATGAGTTAGGCCACCCAGCTGCTCCACTCAACCCCCAGAGCTGTGAAGGAGTCAGAAAGGGGACAGTAGGTCTCTAAAACTTCCCACAGACACAAATCGGTCAAATCTTCACGTGCACCAGAAAGGCAGAGTTCCTTCCCGCCAGGAAACAAGCAGTGCAGACAGGAAACATCCAGACTCTGGATAATAATACAGCCGGCCACAGGGAAGTGGCCCATTGTATGGCACAGAATGAAAATGCTGAAGAGGCGCAGAGCCCAGAGCCAGGGCTGGGAGAGGAGGAGGGCTCACGTGCACCCGGCCTCCTCAACCCATAATGGCTCCCAGAGTCTTCTGCTGCCCTACCACACAGCACGGCTTCTGGAAGGATAGAGGGTAATTTCCTGGGAAATTCACTAATTGACATGTTTGTCAACACTTAACCTCTTTCCCAGTGGAAGCCAGCCACTGAAATAAGGTATAATGGAGGAAGGTCGGGTACTGTTCTTGCTAGTTGAAATGAAGGGCTCATTCTGTGCCCAGGTCCCCTGAGCACCTTCAGCTCTTTGGCCCTGAGAAAAACTAAATCTTGCCAACTCCCTGACAACACCACCACAGTCCCCTAGTGCAAAAGTGACACTGGGAGCAGACAAGATGCACTAGAGATTCATCTGCACACAACCAGCTGTCAGGAGGTATGACACTGGTAGACAGCCTCTTCTGCCCATGTTACCTACATGAAAATCCTGGTGCAATCGCTTTTCATCCAAGACTGGTTCCTGAGCCTCTGAGCCTCAGCTGCCTCATCTCTAAAATGGGAACAGCATACTTCATGGGATTATTGTGAAGGGAAAAAATAGATGTTATGCCCCCAGCACTGTGCCAAGAACTTAAGGAATGCTCACTAGGTCCCAGATATGTTCTATCCAGGTTCTCAGAAAACACTGCCCCACATGTATGCTGGAGAGTCTCCCAGGCCCACGATGGCAGGGGAGACTACAGACATCTGTCCAAGTCACTGGAAGCAGCTCCAGTGACTTCAGCATTCCTCCTGAGGACTAATTTTCCATTCCCTGCTGGCATCTGGAGGCAGCCTCATCACACACTACAGCTGCCAACTCGCTAAAGCAACCACCCGTCTGGGGTGGCTCTGCCCCCTTCATGGCCATGGGCGACTTTTCCAGACACTCCGGTTCTGAGCCTCCCCTGGTAGTGGGACCTCAGCCAGATTCTAGGAAACGCTATGTGGTGGTTGTCATGAGGAATGAAAAGGAAAATCAAAGATGAACTGCCTCATCAGCACTCTGAGGCCCAGGGCACACACGATCCGCTGAATCAGTGACCACGGGGGACGAGGCAGCCAGGGCTGGCCCTGGTTGGTTATCATCCAAGGCCAGCCCAGCTGGATTCACTGCAGGGGCACAGCTCCATCAGGAATGTGGTTTTGCCGTATTTTCTGGTGGGCTAAAGGGAAACCACAAATAATAAAATTTCTGTCGAAAATTCTGTTCTAAGAAGGAAATGTCATCCCTTGCTTTCCTCACAACAGGCTCATCTAGAGCAGACATCTCTCCTCATCCTTCCACATTTCTATTCCCTGTGACCCCTCGACAAACACCATGACCCCTCGACAAACACCATGACCCCAACTGTCACAGCCAAGGACTACTTCTGAGTCCGGAATCTGAGCCAGCACAATGACTCCAGAAATTCTAAGGTGGTCTCTTCAGGACAGTAGACAGACCCTTCTTCTAGTGCCCATATACCCACCATGCATGACAGTCCCCCATGGTTCAGTGCTGGACCACAGAGACAGCAGACAGACCTTGTGAATTCTAGCTCAGCTGGCGTGTTGCCCTTGTGGCATGGGCACACAGTGTCCCATGTTATGTAGCAATTAATCTTTGCCAATCTGCTAAGTCAAAGTGTATCTGATTTCTTTAAACTTGGTTTCTTTCATTGGTATAAAGTTAACATTTCGAAAGGTTGAATGGAGTTTCTTTTTCTGTGAATTATCTATTCATGACTTATTTTTGTTTTTTTAAGATAGTCATGATTATCTTTAGACTCTTAAAAAAACTCTTCGTATAGTAAAGAAAACAGCTTTGATGATTATATATTTGCAATTATTTTTCCTAGTTGGATGTTTATTTTTTAATTTGATGCATGCTACTTTCACCCATGCAGAAAGATCTGATTTTTTTTATATTGTCAAAATATTCATAGTTTGAAGATTTTTAGTGTCCTATCTCTAAAAATTCTGAAGAATAAAGATTGTATTCAGTTACCTCCCTTTCTAGATCTCTCCAATTCCTCTTAAACATGGTCACAACTGTTCTAATGTAAGGAGGCAAGGGATCATCAAAGGTTTAACAGGGAACTGAGCCACACACCCACCAGCTTTTTTTTTTTTTTTTTAAAAAAAAAAACAGGGTCTCTCTAAGTTGATTAGGACCTTGCTAAGTAGCTGAAACTGGCCATGAACTTGCAAGCCTCCTGCCTCAGTTTCCCAAGAGACTGGGATTATGGCCACAGTGCCCAGCTAAAATTCTTCTATTATGATCTTTTTGAAAAATAAAATCCAGGACCTTATCTTCATTTCTCTTATCCCTAGCACAGAGTTCAGACTTATTCCCATTGGGATGGTTATGCTAAAAAGAAAAAAAAAAAAAAGATAGAGGCAGGTGATAGGGAGATTTAGTAGACTGATGGCCCAACGGTGGATGTCTTTAACAGGAGAGAAACTGAAGTAAGCAATGTGCTCTTTCTTTATAAACATCTCACTGATCTTCAACAACCCAGTTAGGCACCCTAATCCCAAGTTGCAAAGGAGAAAACCAGGCTCAGGTCCAGTCATTCCAACCAAGATTCAAATCCAGAACTAGCAAAGGTTTCTGCTGCAATGAGCAAGGAGGCTGCTCAAAGGAAAGCTGTAAATCTTCAAATAGGGAATTTTTCACTAACTACAGCAATTTATAAGACCTTGAGGTGACAGCAGGCCCCAAGCTGGCCTGGGTGACAAAGGAAATGATGTTGTGTCTCAGAAGCTGAATCACTTGGTTAAGGTCATTTTGGGGTAAATGAGAGCTAGGATTGGAAACCAAGTCCATCTGACTCTAAAGTCTGTGCTTTTCCCTTGCTACCACACCCTCATCTTTCATGGTTTCTGGAAGCCATAAAGTAGCAAGGAAGAAAGCAGACACCCTAAGCTTTTATCAGTAACCACAGCCCATATCCCTGGGTTTATTAGACGGCTATATCCTCTCAGACTGGACCTTCCATACTGAGTGGAGGATGGGGCAAGTGAGGTGGCAGGTACATAGCCATTAGCAAGGGGTGACACACCCTTCGCTATAGTGGAACTCAGAACCTACTGATACAGGCTTTTTTTTTTTTTCTTGATGCTCTCTCCCATACAATTATATCAAACCATTGTTCCCACCCTGTAGGTCACTTTCCAAGTTCTCTCTGCTGAAGGACTCCCCACTCTGGCAAGAGAAGGGGCACCAAAAGAGGGGTGGGAAGGAAGACACCCAAGGAAATGACACTGGCCTCTAGCTAAGAGGAACTGGAGATAGGAGTGTTTGATGGTGCCACCCTCCACCAAATTGCCCAACGGTGAGAGTTGAAGAGGTGCCCTCTGGCAGGGTTTGTTTGCTGACTCATTTCTCATCCTGGACTACGGGCAGCCCACTTTCAGTTCCACTCTTATCAGATACATAAGGTCAGCAAGATAAAGGGGTTTTAATTTCTCCTGGGAACTCACCTGTCACAGGGGAACCTTGAGGACTGAAATGACATTTGATTAACCACCTGACCATGATGGTCAATGTCACCTTAGTTGATGTGACATAACTAATTCATTTGGTGCCACCACTCCAGCATTGTTAATATTGTGTACTAACAGGTATCTGGTCCCGGCAAGGACTTGAGTTATATTTTTTCCAACAGGGTCTATTTTCAATCGTTAGGTACTTGCCACTCATTAAAATAAATCACCACCTGTTCCTTTCAGGCACTCAGAGCAGAGTGCCAGTCAGTGCTCTAAGCTCTTGCAAACAGTTTTGGTTTGGTTTTGTATTTTTAAGCAGCAGTGTCCTTTCATCTGAGGCAACTGTGTTAACAAATGGTAGTGCCCTGGTTGATTGAGGCTGGAGCAGAGTCCAGCCCCTCACTCCCCAGCCTCAGGTAATTAAAGATACTTCAGACTGCAGGAGTCTCTTTCTTTTATTCTTTTTTCCTCGTTTTATATATTTATTCTAATTTATTATACATGACAGAATACATTTCAATTCATAGTAAACATATGGAGCATAATTTTTCATTTCTCTGGTTTTTCACAAAGTAGAACCACACCATTTGTGTCTTCATACATGTACCTAATGATGATCAACTCATTCCACCATCTTTC